CCTAAAATCCTAATGATCTAGGGCCAGCATCCCAGACTCTCTGCTGTAAGCCTCACTGGGAAAGGTTATGAATGTCAGTGACTACAATAACTGGAGTAAAGAAATAAACCCTATATTTAGAATTTGATAACCAACATTTAATAGATTTGATACAGATAAAACAAAGATAATCTATAGATACACAACAATTACTTTAAGCTCTATAGTGCAAATATGTTATTCAGATAGTGAAGCTTACTTTTTTACCCCTTAGGTCAAATTTCAGAAAAGGTGTCTTAACACCTCATAAAATTGGCAACTCTCAGGCTTTCATTCACACTTAGCATGGTGTTAGACTTGCTCTTCACATTTTGCAACCTGTCATACCTCATAGCTTCATTTAACATGATTATCTAAGATTACAACACAACTGGTCACCTCCAAGATGCTTGTCAGATAGAAGGCCAATCCATTTTGGTCATTCCCTGTCTCCAGGTAGAAGGCCAATCCATTTTGATCATTAACTTGTCAAGTTAAAAGGATGAAAATATAAAGAACTTCTCTAGAGAAAGTATGATACGTTTACTGCTTAATACAGTGAAGCTACTTCTGGCCTGTTACTTTTTCTAAGAGTTAGATCCCCCTACTTTCTACTACTTTCTACTATTTAAATCCTGGCATAAAATGGCAGCAGTCCTCCTACTCCAGATGCGCTCCTGTGGTCTAAGGATAAACATATGACGCTCCACCAAAAACCCGACCCTGCTGTTAACAGGGGCCAGCAAATACTGACATATCTAGCTCAAACCTGCTTACCTAGCAATACAAGGAAATATGCCAGTTCTGATCCCTCATCTTCACTAAAGAACACAGGGAGTTTTCTTGTGTTTTTTTTTTTACTTTGTTTCTAATCGTCACTTTAAAAGCATTGACTCTGGATACTATATGAGGGCAGGCTTATGTAAATGAGGGGCATGACTGCTCCACAGCATCAACAGATCTGGTAAAATGTTGATGTGCTACATGCCATTCACTCTTCTATTTTTCCCTATCTCCTGCTACTTGACTGTGAACAAGGATGGAATCTTCCTCTTCCTAACACCAGGATCTGTCTTGGAGTAGACACTTTGCAGTTATGGAATAAATGAACATAGTTTTATGACCCACACAGTGAGATGAAGAACCCGCTGCAGACACAGAGCTGCAGACTCTGACCATCTTGGCTTACGTCACCTTGCTAAGAAGGGGACAGGTATAGCAATGTGGCTCTTCCATGCACAGCAATTTGGGAATGTGAGATTATCAATGACCTTGGAGAAGTGTTGCCAGTTAAAATGACAGTCGGTTGACTACTGATATACAGCCACATAATCTTACATTACTGACTCCTTGAGAGTCTACCAAAATAGCACTTTTAAGGTATATATTTCTAATCTGCTATAATCTTGAAGCTGCAGTTAAGAGACTTTTTTTTCCTCATTTGCACTGGTAGAAAAAGGCACACAGCAGGTATTTCAAATAAGTTAAAACAACAGCTACGTTAAAACATGCCTTGGAGACACAAAATTACAAACGGGAATATATTTCACTGACATTTTCTACCAAGAGAAAAGTGCAATGCTGTTAAATGTCTTAGAATCATAAGGCAGTCTCTCTTCTGTCTGAGGCAGGTGAGTGTTGAGCTTTATCCCTAGATGTGCTCTCTGAGTTTACTCTAGCCATGGTGTGTTTTTTGGCTTTTTTCCTGAGCTGGATGCTATTTCAAGCCAGATTCTCCAAAGTGAATTGCAAAAGGCTGTTTCTGCTCCCCATGTGAATTCATATTTATGTGATTCCTTATGGATGCAAGCAGTGCAGGAACCACTGGGGATAATTTCAAAACAAGAATCCTATTTCCCCCAATTATTCTACTGTAAAAATTTGTCCAAGTAGTTGCTAGATGCATTAAACATACCTACTGATTCATTCATTCAATAAATAATTATTGAGCATATGCTGTATGCCAGAAACTATTCCAGGTACTAAGGCTACAGCAGAGAAAGAAAGAGTCGCAGACCCTGTCTTCAATGAGGAGCTTAAAGTTTTAGCCTAGACAGGCAAAAAAGTAAATAAACAAGTAAATATTAAAAGATGAGGCTAGAGCTGTGAGGGAAAGAATCAAGACATACATTAATGAACAATGGGAAACGATCTACTCTGACATAGAATCTTGCTTACCTTATTCCGCCCTCTGGTTCCTTGCTTTGTGGTTAATATTCAATTTCAAAGAACCTCAAAAAAGTCAAGCATTTTATTTGTATTAAATTCCAAAAGCAAATGATAAGCTGTTTCTTAATTGGCCACCAGCATCCACAATTTAAAATCTGCATTAGAAAAGGAAGGATGCCCTTTGGAAAAAAATGTTTCGCCATGTTCAGACAAATGGATTTAAAAAATAATTTTTAAAATTAAGAATCTTATGTAATGTTACTTTTTTAAAACCAAAAACTTAATTTGAAGGTAAAGGTCATTAATACTGGCAGAAATATTATCTTAACAATGCACTTTTTCTACAAATAGAGGAACCCTGCCTATGAGAAATACTTAAGACCACTATTACAAAGTTGGAGATCCAAGCTGTGAAGTAATCAACAGCATTCAAGAGACACCACCATAATGATAATGGTACTGTGGCGTATATAGCATTAAACTTTAAAGTATGCTTCATATACACTTCATATATTTCAAAGTTGTGTGTGTGTGTGTGTGTGTGTGTGTGTGTGTGTGTGTGTGTGTATACGGTTGTTTTTAAAGTAAGCTGTAGGGGCGCCTGGCTGGCTCAGTCAGATAAGCGTCTGCTTTCAGCTCAGGTCATGATCCCAGGGTGCTGAGGTCCTGGGATGGAGTCCTGCATTGGGCTCCCAGCTCAGCAGGGAGTCTGCTTCTCCCTCTCCCTCTGCCCCCCACTCGTGCTCTCTAGTGAATAAATAAAATCTTTTAAAAAAAACAATAAAGTAAGCTCTATACCCAACGTGGGGCTTGAACTCATGATCCCAAGATCAAGAGTTGCATACTCTACCAACTCAGCCAGCCAGGCACCCTCTAAAGTATGTATTTTTTAAAGAGTGTCATTATATGGATGGATGGATGGATGGAACATCTGTGATTTACTTCAAGATAATCCATGAAATGAAAAGGGGAGAGCGAACAACTAAAGACGGTTGGTCAGTGGGTCCATGAGTGTTTGCACTATTCTACTTCTGAATATGTTTGAAATTTCCCACAATAAAAAACAGTAGTGCTATCCATTTGTAGCATCTATTTAGTAAAACTAAAGAGTTTTACTTTAGATCTAAAGTCAATAAACTCATCAGTTATCACTTATGTCTAATTTAGCACACATTTAGCCAAAGGTTTAAAAGGACATAACACAATTCTGCTCCAAAAGTGTCTGTGCTTGGAGTAATCTAAATAAAATGTAGAGCCCTGAGAATACCACTGAGTATCAATTTTTGAAAATCAACTATTTCACAGTGAAAATGATTTAAAATTTTCTTAAAAAGGCATAATTGTCTCAAATTACCCAAATATAATCAAACTACATTTTTCATATTGTGCAAGTGAATAAAACACTCAAAATTAAATTCCACCAGACAAATTAAGTTGCAAAAAATCTCAGCTGGCTACTTTTCCTAATTTACTCATAAAAATAACCATTTAGTTGTTAATAATTTTTCTTTTTTTTTTTAAGTAGGCTCCACACCCAGCATGGAACCCAATGCAGGGCTCAAACTTACGACCCTGAGATCAAGACCTGAGCTGAGATCAAGAGTCGGACGCTCAACAACCAACTGAGCCACCCAGGGGCCCCTTAGTTGTTAGTAATTAATAAATCTGAGAAAATTTGCCAAAACAAACTTCTCTCCATTAAACTGGGCAAGAAAGAGACACTAAAACTATTATTCTCATTTCCACATCCATTTTCAACCCAAATCACTCTGTCTTGCATCTACTACCTCTGCCAACTCAACAACACATAAGTGGCTGGATAGTTTTGATTTTGGGGGGGGTACCTCTAATCAATTGTAAGTATGAGACAATTTTCTAAAAAGATAACCTCACACTAGCACGTTTACTGAAACCATGGCAACCTGCCAATAGCATGAAGGGATTTTAGTTTGAAGACGGTTGAAGACGGTTTAGATGGGGAAAGCGGGGTAATTATAGGTTTCTAGATGTTGGTCACTTGTCAAATCTTAAATAAATTTTCAGAAACATGGGCAAAAATGGATGTAGGTAAGTGTTCTCATCCTCCTTTCAGAGAGAGAATCTCAGAATCTTCTCATGAAGAGGAGAAAAGGAGTGACCCACCTGAGGGCACAGTCTCCGAACTCTACTCTTCCCTTAGAAAACAGGGAAGAAATTGCATGACTTCCTTTTATACGGTGTTCTAGCAAACTAGTCTCACTATAGCTAACATAATCCTTCCTGTAACTTCCAAGAAAGAGAATCAAATCAACTATCCAAAATAAGACCACAGTGAAGTAAAGTATATACATATCTCCTGTTCCAGAGCCTTCATTCACTGCAGTTTAGTTTTTCTCCTCAGAAAGAGACTTAACTGTAATAGTAAAATATATTTGTGGGCCACCATAATATTGTGAGAAAAAAAGTGGCTGAAGAGGCAGTTTGTCCCTGTGCTCAGTACAAAGCTAGAATAAGGGTCATATTCAGTGCTGACAATTGGTGGCTTACTGAGAAAATATCTGTAATCTTAAGTCCTATTTGAAAAAAATATATCAAACTATGTTCACTGTTCAAATATGCACTCTTTTAGACAAAACAATTAATTCCATCCATTCCTGCTCCAGTAATACAGGAGATTCTATAAACTGCATCCTAAGGTTCTAATGAGTCCTCTTGAGTCAAATACAAAGGTGCTACAGGCAGTATATACCGGGACATAAACCAAACAATGCATACTTGAGGCAAGAAATATGATTTCCCCCTTTAAGTAACAATAATCAACAAATACAAACCTAATTTTCATATTTCATTTTTTATTAGTTTTTTTTTTCTTCTGGTAGACAGTACACTTGGGAATCATACTGCACCAGGCATAAGAAGTAAGAGTTCTACCACAGGGACATTTTGTATTCAGAATCCAATATAAATATTTCTAGTCAGACATTTCCATGGCTACAGATATTTGGTTGCTTGATTTATATGCATAGAAAGAAACAGTTGTCATAACTGTAAAAAGCAGTACTTAACAAGTACTTTTAAATGATTGGAACAGTTTTCCTTTAATATTACAATACTGCTTATTGGTTTGGAAACTAGGTCACCCTACATGATGTTTTGATTTTTCTCAAAGGCATCATGAGTACTCTGCTTATTCTTTCATTCCTGCATTTTTAGCCTTCTAGTTGAGTTAGGGACCATTTAATCAGAAATCATTGTAGCACTGTAATAAAAAAAGCTCTGTTAAGAGTAGATTATATACCATAATGATTTTTATACTTCTTTTTATAAAAAAGGTATCTGGAGGCTCCGAACAGGCACATGCATACTCAAGGTAAAGGGAACAAAACATAGAGGAGTCTGCTAAAGCACAAAACTTCCTTCTGGTCCTCAATGCCTTCGAATAAATACAAATATTAAAAAAAAAAAAAAATCCCACACTGTGATTTAAAAAAAAAGAAAAAAAAAGTCTCTTCCATGTCCTGGAGAGTCAGTTTCCAGGAACTTCTCCCAGGCTTCGAGATCAGTCATCGGTCTTCCGGGCCAGCCTACAGAAAGTCCAGTTGTGCTCCACTGTGTTCTCGTTGGCCCGCTCGCTCATGTGATGTACTCGGGTGTTGCGGATCGTGAAACCTTGTTTTGTAATGTATTCCATCAGGTGGACCCGGAGAGAAACTTCCTGGTGATAATCACAGGGTCCGAAAGTAAAGGAAACCTGGCAATCTCTGGTGTCCATCATGTGCTTATTCCACTTCGTGAAATAGTTTGAGATACCTTCTAGCAAGGAATGGACTTTGGTGGTGATGGTTAATTGGGTTATGATGACAGCTACTGGATTGGAGTACTTAGAAAGCTTCCGAGTACTAGATAATTCCACAACTTCTTCAAAAGTATCCATAGGATACAGAGGCTTAGGGTCATTGAGACACTGAATCAAGGGCTCAATCTGATAAAAATCTGCTTCTTTCCGAAGCAGATCAAATTCCTTAAAATCCAGGGGTAAGGTCAACTCTGAAGTTCTTAAGAAGTTGAGGACATATCGGAAAAGAGGTCCATCTCGATCAATGAAGTAATTGCCTTGAGGGTCTCGAGCTGTGGGGAAGTCCCCCCCAAACATAGCTCCAAGCATGGAATCCGGGTAACGCGTCAATGTGGTGAGAGACGTTGTATACAAGTGTCCACCTACATTTAACGTGACTGGGTCAGTCATCTGAAATTTTTAAAAAATGGTAAGTCATCTGAAATTTCTTAAATCCTAACTTTGACAAATTAAGAAAATTAGTGGTAACAACAAGCAAGGCAAAAGATTCCTTCAGGCTATAATGTATTTAGCAATCCTATAATACAAAATAGCTTTACTGTCAATGATAAACCTACCCAGATGAAGGGATCTAACATTTTCTTTCAATAAAAAAAGGATAAATCTAATTCATTACAGCCTTACACTAAAAAAGGAGAGCATGACTTCCAAAGCCACTTAATTTCAGGCCCAGTATCTACAGAGAAATTTTTAGGTCAGAGTACACTATTGAAGAGAAAAGCCAAGCTAAAATATACTCACATAAGTTTTTTCTGATTAAAAAAAGAGAGACCTTTTTTCTTAACTCAATTTAACACAAAATAGAATAAAAATGATTTGATAATATAAAGATAACTATTTTCAATACTTTTGTTTTTCCCACTCAAAAAGGGGAACAAATCGTAAAATTTACTTTAAAAATAAAAATTTGTGCAGACCTAATCTTTATAACTTCTCCATGAAAATAGCAGTGCCAAATACTAAATTAGAATACACAGATAGTCAACACAATCTTATATACCCAAAGGCTAACAGCAGCTTTCAAATTTTATAATCCGATCATGTATTCACTTTTGTAATAATGTTGCAATCTGGCCTTTAATTTTGAAAAGCTTCTCTAAATAATATACCATAAATATACCTTCCCTTTTAGAAGTTATATGTAAGAAAATAAAAATAAAAATAAAGACAGAGAGACTTCTAGTACTAGACAAGTAAAATATTTCTTACCAAAGGAAAAGGAAAATAAGACGACATGCACACTCAAAAAGCGTACAGGTGGGAGAAGTGGCGGCTTCTCAACCTTTAACTTCCCTAACACAAGCAAATATCCTCTGTACCATTACCTACTAGACCATTTTAATAGTCACTACTCTATGAAGTTTTAAGAGCAACATACTTTAAAGACCAAAAAAATATTATGCTCTCAAGTAAGTGATTACAACAAGTTACTTAGTTCATATTGACTTTGCTTACATAAAAACACCAAACTAGACCCCAAAAATAAACTAATTAAGCGGGGAGGATAATGTACTAATTTATAATTTTCATTCTTATAAGACATACTATACCTAAGAATACAGAAGAAGGGGGAAAGATACACACAAATTATTTGCCAGCCTTCAAAATGCATCTGCAAAAGCATCTCACCATATAGCCCCAGTCTCCATTATCCATCTGCTCCAGCGCTGCTGTCTCAGGAGCCCAGGGTCCAGGGAAACTTGGGGAGAAGAAAAAGACATGTAACAGTGCATGTAACTATGAAAACAAAGAAGGATTTTCCCGACCAACAGAACAGACAGCTACTCATCTTTGCTCAGCCAAAACCGGCTACAGGGCAAAGATCTGGAGAAGAAAGCATTCCTCTAGGACAGTCCACACATACCTAAGAGATTGACAATCTTCAGAGAAAAAAATTATCCTATGCTTAGGGAAGGAAGAAGAGCCTAGTAAGTAAACCAGTCATTCAAATTCTACCTATCCTCTCTGAAAATTCAATTTTTACAATTTCTACAGGAGAACATTATCATTAACTGTACAACCTTATCCTGGTGCAAACCTGTAATAATCCTTATCAAAAAGGTGGTTTAAGGAAAGGGAGAAAGAGAAAACTCTTTTCTATCCATTTCAGCTATAGAAACTAAACATCTCAGTAAAAGCACTGGAAGCCATAAACCTCCAAGACACCAGGATCACTTTCCAAGAGAAATACATCAGAACGGTTTTCTTTTGTAACATAAAAAAAGCACTACTTATACTTTTAATAATGATATATTTCATTCTGTACAATTATCAAAACAAATAGAAAACAATGTAAATGCCAAATCATCAGAGCACAATTTGGGACAACCTTACAAATCTGGTTGCAGGTCACTCAGCCAGCACTTATGAAGAACCAGCCTGAAGACACTGATAAACACCCAGATACTAATGATGCCAGTTTGAATTTACTTTTATCTACAATTCAAAAGCACTTAAACACTTTCCCAGCTACAGAAATGCTTTAGTCAGTCCCCTCTCACACGTATCATTCTCCAAATCAACCGGCAAGGCAAACTGCAGAGCAAATTTCAAAAGCTCTGGCAATAGACAGTAAGAAACATGAACTTACCGGTATTTATCCAGGAACAGCACTGGGTTTTTATACGGTCTTTGAACAGATTTACTTTTCCCACTTTTAGAGAAATCTGGCACACTATTCCCAGAACAGGCCCTGGCTACAGAAGATCACAAAGGCTCTTTCTCAAAAAGGTCACTCAGGCATGTAGAGAACATTTGCATAGCACAGCAGGGGCTGAAATCAGAGCCTGAAGCATCTATTTTTCCACCTTGCACATTCTTCAAAGAAAACAAGCTAAAATGTGGACCAGACAACTTGCAGTCAGGTTTAATTCTCCATACTCAGCAGCTGGATATAGATAGACCTCCACATGCTATAGGGTGAGAAATGGAACAAATGTCAAATTCAGGGGGTGTGTGACAACCTTTCATTCCTCTGACTTGCTTCTCAGTATTTGAGGTAAACAGAACCAAGAAAACAGGCTTTACCAATTTATATTATGAGCATCTGATTCAGTTACTGATACAACGGACAGATAAATAACTGAGTTAAAAGGCCAGTCATCCAAAAGTTTTGATACTAGGCTCATCTTTGGCATCTTCCTATCACCCAAAGTTCCCATTCCTGACAGCCTCAAAAATAATTCAGTCAACCAACATTTATTATAGGTCAACTTGGTGTGTATGTGGGGATGGGGGGTGTGATGTGCAATGTGGAAACACAGAAATAGGAAAGATACAATCCTTGCCCTCTTGGAGCTTTCTATCTGTGAAGAAAGGCAACATGCAACAACTGTACAGAGTAGTGCTACATAATGCATGGACTAGCAGAGGCCTTCGGGAAGAAAAAGCAAGAACATTTCCAAATGGGCCGACTTCAGGAAGAGCTCGCTCAGGAGAATTCTGCAGGAATATTTGGACAACCTGAGAGGAGGGATTCCAAAGTGAAGAAACAATTTAAATAAAAAAAGATGGGCCTTTTCCTCCCACAATATTCCTGATACAATAAGCAATGCATGAATTACTGTCCCCATTTTAGAGATGCAAAATAGAGAAACAGCAGATTAAATGACTTGCTCAAGTTCCTACAGCTAGAAAGTAACTGATTAAGAACTTGGATTTTCTGACTCCTAGTCTAGATCTTTCTATAAAACCCCTTTGGGTGGAAACTCAAAGCACAGAATCCAAGAAATAAGAAACTGAAAGGACTGACTTTAGACCCCCCAGCAGGTAGATTTTATTTACAAATTTAATAGTAACTCAGTCTAAGTGAGCAGTCACAATGGGTTTGTAAAAATTCCCCTGAGGCAAAATAGCAAGACCCTACTCACTAGGGTGACTGAAGGCTGGTGTCCTCTGTCTTAAGTGAAGTAAAGAACTCCAATCCATGAATATCCGAATGATTAAATGAGAAATGGGAGACCAAAGACAAAGGAAAAAACCAGACATCATCAATGTTACAGCTGTTACACAAGGTCTGTCCACTATTAATCCTTTTTACCCCTTTTTTACTGCTAAACCAAAACAAGCTAACTTCTTGAACAATCATAAAAAGAAAATTAGATGATGCCTTTGAATCTGTTCCACAGCAAAAGCCCAGGTTCTGTTCGGATATAAAGATGTAAAGAAACCTCAAGCTTAATAATTCAAGAAAGCAATTATGGGAATCTATATAAGCCCATGTTTCTTAAAAAGCACCCAAAAGCCTCCCTACATTTGTGTAGAAGATACAGATACTCAAAATAAAATGAAGTTACTATTAGTCAGTCACTTCCAGTAACAATGACTAAACTGTCCAAAAAAAAATCAAATTGTTCACTAAAGAGCTCTAAGGCGGAAAAAACAGTATTGATCAGTTTAAATTTTATCCCTACTACTTACTTCTAAACATCCTCTGTGGAGATGCTTAATGCTTAGATACAGCAAGAAACAAAAAAGCAGTTAGATTCCTGGCCATCCAATAGCTGGATAATCAGCCTCTAAATTGATGACTATTAGGAACATCTCAGAGACAACACAGATGAATGAAATAAAACATAATCCAAAAGAATTTCCGGAATAGTGTCAATCTCTCCTACCAAATCATTTTTCAGAGCTGCTAACAATCAGAAAATGATTCATTTGCTTTTCATCTTCTCTCTCTTCTGGCACAGTCTCCAGTGGAGGGCTTAATGAGAAGTTAAAAGACCACAAGATAGGCAGCAGCAGATCTTAAAATGGGCATCAAATGGGTCTGTTTTACTTGATGAAGACAAAGAAAAATCTAATATTCCAGAAAATTTGCCAGGAATAGAGATTATGAGGTTAACAATGAAAAATTTTTTTCTTCCAAGTGACTCTCCTTACTAAAGATCATTTTAAACAGCAGTGAATGCAACCAAGCACAAACAATTAGAAAGTTCAAAGAAAGGCTTCCAGCCCTTGAAAATCAGTCCTACCTGAAAATATCTGACCTTTGCTGCAAATAAAATTCTTGTGGAAACAAGTGGCTGACCATTCCCAAAGAATATAAAGCAGTACTGAAGATTCACCCACACTTAAGCTTCAAAGGTTTAATTATGACTAATGTGTAAATTCTGACAGTGTAATGTTAGCAGATAATTAAGCTAAGGAAAACACATACTAAAGAATTTGTAAAAGCCTTAAAAGAAATTGCTAACAATTTTCTAAAGTAGCAAATCTGAAAAATGCACAATCCAACAAGTTAATAACTTAAAGAATAACCTAAGAACCCGGGGCCATTCTCATCACTGCAGAGCTACAATCAAGCTTTTGGTTATGATTAGCTAATTCTACATAAATATTCTGGATTTACCACTTCTGCTACAGACTAAAACTAAGCATTCTCCCAGGCAAAAGTCCTACTCCCATGTAACAGCTTACCCATCAGAATACACACCTCCAAACTCGGATAAATAATAAAAACCTGTAACTACTGCCTTCTCAAAGTTTCCAGGTAGCTCTTGTAAAATGCCATTCTCCTAAAATCTTTGTGTCTGGCATTCAGAAAAGAAGACTCAATAAATTCCATTTATACATACCTTCAAAATGACCTTTTGTACGGAATTCCTCAGTTCTTGAAACATGGGAGTTTGAAAATGAAATACTATTTATAGTAACTAGTTCAGCGACATCTAAAGGGATCTTTGGGGTTAACATTCACATATAGGCTGACCCTAGTAGCCAGGCACACAAGGAGAACATGATTATGGTGTTAGGGTATCCTTAACCATACCAACGCAGAAATAGATTGTTTTTCACTAAAATTATTTTTTTCTCTCTTCTCTCTCCATGTAATCTAGAAGAAAGGAGGTCTAGATTGAAAAAATGACCTTAATGCTAAAGAGCTGTCACAAATAGTCAAAAAATCAGAAGATTCCTATTACCCTCAGTTTCTACAAAATAAAATAGGATAATACCACCTTCCCAAAAATAATGATACCATTTAGGCATAACACAAAGGCAACAACCGACCTACACGGTAACAGATCAGGACTAGGGTTCTGAAGTCACATGCAGGCCAGTGCAGAGGAAAAGAGAACTGGTTACTGGTGAGGATCTGTATCCCCCTTCCGTTCCTTTCCTAATTAGGAGACCCTGAGGAAATCCCTCTTTAAGCCCAGCTCCTTTGCAGAAAAGGAGAATATAAACAAGATCATGAATAGAAAACCATTTATAAACTGGCAAGTATTAAGCAAATGTGAAAATACTAATGGCAGTAGCATAAACAAAATTTCTGTGGTAAATTGAGAAACTTGAGAGTGTGAACACAAGTAATTTAGAGCCCTGGCATGGAAACAAGACAAAAATGGAAGAAAAACCTCTTAATTTGCTTCCAATCTCCCCAGGTCCTCCTTTCTGCAGACCTTCACAAGGCAGAATTACAGGTAAAGAGGAGCAGCCGGCTTGTATAGGGACCACCAGACATCTGAGCTCTTGATCACAGAAGCAACTTCTCTAAAGCATGACTCAGGATTATCTCTAAGGTAAAGCCAAATCCAAATAAATACGCGTGTTCCGTTTTAAATAGACTCTAAATATCAAAATTCAAGACACACTGAGAGATCCATAGAAGGATTCACCCTAGGATTCCTTCATGTAGGAATGCTTTGGGTAAAATATGATTTATGAAAATTTCAATCACACAAATCTTAGCAATGGCCATCTATGGCAGTCCTCATCACTCAATCCTTAATATCTACGGTATTACATAAAATGAAATATTAGTAAGGACTGACAGTTCTCAACCAGAGACCAAGTTCTCTCAAACTAACAACCCTGCAGACAAGAAGATTGTTCCTTTTCCTAGCCACACATTTGCTCATTTGAAAACATCAATCTTGGGCTCGGGCCTGTACTAAATGCTGTCCTCTAGCTTTTCTCCTATTCTGAGATCGCACCTGGACATTTGTGACAGGAAGAAAATAAATATGCCAAGGGGAAACGGTAAGAGATACCTGGGCTATCCCAAACTTTCCTGGCCAAACCAGGTCACCCCACGTTGGCTTGCCACTCAAACCTCTTCTATCACCAAGTCCTAAAATTGGATTTATCAACTTGCTCCAGAGCAGCTATACTTAAACAGAAACATGATAACTTCAGCAGAATATCCAAGGAGGCTCTGTTTCGTTTCTTCCGTCCCACCCTCAGACACAACCTCCACAACTGTCAGCCCAGCAGGTGCTTCAGGGGCTCCCCATTACCATGGTCATTTATCACCTCTGACATCAACCATTAAAAATGCCAAGATACACAAATCTGAGCATAAAGAACTCAGCTGCACTCAGTGTGTCTTTGAAGGCAGAAAATGCCCTAAGGCAGAGCTCAGAAGCCCTGTCACAGCCTTTAAATTTGGGCAAAAGGTGGCTAATAAGCGCCACCCCCTAAAACAATCATTTTTGAGCAAAACTCGAGGTGTCCCCGTCCGGGCCGTGCTTCGCTACTACCCTGTAGCCAAAGTCCCCCCCCCCCCCCCCCCCCCCCCCCCCCCCCTGGCGTGGGACACGAGATGCTCCGGGCCCGGGCGGGGGGCGCGCCCCGGTGTCGCGAGCCCGGGTCCGCCGAAGCCGCACGTCCCCGCGGGGCGGGCCCCGGAACCCGCCCCAGCCCGGCCTCTCGGCCGCGGGCAGCCCGGCGCCGGCTCGTGCCTGCCCCGGAGCGCGCCGCGCCGGCTCCCCACGGTCCCCCTCAGCGCGGCCCACCACCGCCCGGATTCTCCTTAACCCCGCTACCCCGGCCGCTCCGCGCCGGCTTCCCCTTGTGCCTGGCCCTCCCGAGCCCCAGGCCCCCAAGCCCTGGGCCCGCCCCCACTCACTGCGCGGCGGCGGCGGCGGCGGCCCGGCGGGGAGACGCCGGCGGCCGGAGAGCGGGAGCGCGAGGACGAGCGAGCCTGCGCCCAGCGGCGGCGGCGGCGGCGACGGCGGCGGCGGCGGCGGCGGCGGCAGAGCGGACGACTGAGCCCGCGCCCGGAGTTGCGGCTCCTGCCGCCCGGCGCGGGCGGCGCCTTCCCAGCAGAGCCGCGGCGCCACGAGCGCGGGCGCCCCCTAACGGCGGCGCGGGCGGCAGGCCAGAGGGCCAAGAAGCCGGAGGAGCTCCGCGGGGCGCAGCCTGGGCGGAGCGGTCAGGCCGGCTCCGCCGCAGTCCCGAAGGCCCGCCCCCGAGGCTCCGCCCCCGAAACACAGAGGCCGCGTCCAGAAACCCGCCCCTTCGTCCCGCCCCCGACCGCAGTTGGGAATCAGCCCAGCCCCTGGCAGTTTTCCATGCGTCCTCGGGCTCGGGTCCTCATAGCTGTTTCTCTTGCTTCACCAACACGTATAGGGTCCCGACCATGTACAGCGGCTACCAAGACGGAAGGGGGTCCTAATGAGAGGAGAAAAGAAACAAGACCCAAGGAAACTGCAAAATAATGACAAGTTGTGATTCTAAGTCCTAAGAATCGCCGCCTGGGATTCTAAGTACAGGGTTAGAGGAATTGGAGAATAAGGGGAGGGGCCACAAGCGGCGGTGGCCAAGAAGACCTGGACGCCCGGCCTGTGGCCAGAACACCTCTGGCCTTGCCCTCCTTGAGGGGAACCACCCTCTGGTAAGGCCACCCATCCGGCCCGGTGGGCAGGGAAGAGAAGGGCAGTCAGGCCCAAAGGGTCGACATGGGCAGCCAGGTGGAGAGAAGGGGAGAACTGACTTCAGCAGAGAAAATGACCCGTGCAAAGGTCCTGAGGCCCGAAGAAGCTGGCCCTAGGTGAGCCTGGCGCCGGTATCGCCCTCAGTCCACCACTACGGAAGCCAAGGCTGCAGAGCCTAGGGAATTACCTAAAGTCTCAGAGCTAACTGGTCGGCAAGCATAGAATCCTTCCAAATCCCATTCTCTTCCTGCTTCCTGCTAACCAGATCTCTGTCCCCTTTCAGGCGGGACCAGGCAAATGATGGTGGTTTTGTCCTTTCCCCTCTCCACCAGGATAACCCCTGGCCTTAGGAACTCACCTGTTTTTCATGACTGCATGTGCCTGAGTTGGCTCTGGGGTTTAACTTTTATCCTCATGATCATCACAGTCAAATCTGATAATTTGGTTTTTCTCTGAAAACTCAAATCGATAGGTTGAATGAATGTCATATGCTTCATCAACATGATTGAGTGCTGTATTATCATATTCAAAAGGACTAGATCAGGCTACAGGGAAATGTGTATGAAAATAAGCCACACACAAAATGGTATACGTGGTATAATTCCAATCTTATGTTTAAAAAACACAAATATACAGGGCGCCTGGGTGGCTCAGTTGGTTGAGCGACTGCCTTCGGCTCAGGTCATGAACCCGGAGTCCCAGAATCGAGTTCCACATCGGGCTCCCTGCTCAGCGGGGAGTCTGCTTCTCCCTCTGACCCTACCCCTCTTGTGCTCTCTCCTCTCAAATACATAAAATATTTTTAAAAAACCCACAAATATACATAGACAAAAATTTTGAAGAAAATATGTCAAGTCATTGGTCACAGTTCTCTAAGTAATAGGACGGGAATGTTAGTGGTTTATTCTTAACACACTTCTGAATTTTCTTTATTTTCTAGAATGCAGAGATATTGAATTTATAATCAGAAAATCTAATGAGTTAGTTTTTACAAAAGAAAAACACTACCAGAATTACCCAATACTCAGGTCTTGAGGATTTGGTGCCACTGAAAATTCAGAACTGCCCCCTGGCTTGCTGGTGTCCTTCAAAGAGTTATTTCCCTTTTCCTCAACCAAAAACAGAGGAATTAATTTTGTCAGTTGTTTTCTCAGAACTATTCCTATATATCTCTTGAAATATTTATTGCTGTTATAAATTATATTTTCAAATATGCATTTTATAATATATTGATGATTACTGAAATGTGGATAATAACCTTGTATCCAGCAAACTTGGACTATTTTTTAGTTCCACTAAGTTTATAGCCTCTCTTGAATTTTCTGTTAAATAATCATAGAGTCTGCAAGTAATTACATTTGGTATCTCCCTGTCCAGCCTTTATTTCCTGTTCCTTGTTTTACTGCACTGACTAAAATCTTCAGCACAGTGTTGAATAGCAATGATGACAGTGGGCATTTTTATCTTGTTCTTGACTGTTTCGAATATGTTACCCTTAAAAATAGTGTTTGTCGTAGATTTTTGATAGATACCTTTTATGAGGGTAAGGAAGCCCTATTCTGCTTTATTAGGAATGGGTGCTGAATTTTATCGACATGAGATTTTTTCCCCCTTATCCACTGGTGGATTTTATTATATTAAACCGTCCATGCATTCGTGGAATAAACACACCTTTGATGACGTGTTATTTTTTTCGATATAGTGCTGGATTGCATTTGCCAATATTTCATTTAGGGTTTTTGCATCCATATCTACGATGAGATGTGCCTGCTAATTTCCTCGCCTCTTCTCTCCTTGTCTGGTTTTGCTATCAAAGCTACATGAGCTCATAAAATCAATTAAGGAATGGGTGTCTGTTCACTATACAGCTTATGTAAGAGTGCGATTTTCTGTAGTTTGGATTTT